GACGGTGTATACAGTCGGCGGCCTGCCAGGCTCTGCCCTTGACGTCGCCCTGGTGCGCCAGGGGGGGCTGGGGGGCCCCGGCGCGGCCGCCGAGTCGACCGCCGCGGTGGAGGCGCTCTGCTCGGCGCTGACGAGCGGGACTGCCAACTTCCTGGTGGCCCCCAGGAGCCCAGGGCGTCGTCGTCGTCGTGTTCGTCGGCGTCATCGCCGTCGTCGTGTTAGTCGTCGTCGTCGTCGTCAAATCTTGTCGTCGTCGTCGTCGTCGTCGTTCTGGTCGTTTGCGTCATCGTCTTCGTCTCAAATGTTTTCGTTGTCGTTATCGTCATCGCAATTATCTTCGTCGTCGGCGTCGGCCGCGTCGGCGTCGTCGGCGTCGTCGTCGTCGGGTCTCAGAGCATGCACGCGCCACACCCCTGCCCTCGCCTCAGGCGGCGAACCAAGTTGGAGGCAACTGACGGTCAGTTGGAGGCAACTGACCGTCAGTTGGAGGCAACTGACCGTTAGTTGGAGGCAACTGACCGTTCGTGGGAGGCAATTGACGGTCAGTTGGAGGCAATGCGTCGGGAATCTGTGGTAACAGTTTTTGGCTTCGTCACCCACCCCTTCGCGAACCGCTGCGCGCTCGGGAAATGCGCCCGAATCGACCGGATCCCCTGTGTCAATGGACCTACCCAAGGCCAGAAAGTTTTCGGAAAGGGTCGACTTGGGCTATTTCAAAAACACCCTTGCTGACCAACTGCCCTGGGAACGGGTCCTACTGTGTAAACTAAGCGGTGTTTTATAATTTGGCGCTTTCTTAGGGGCGGCCTCTTCTGGGGAACAGGGGTTGCTGTGATGCCCCCCCCTGTTCTGTGTCAAAGATCTTCGATTTGAAGCCTTCCTCCTCCTCCTCCTCCTCCTCCTCCTCCTCCTCCTCCTCCTCCTCCTCCTCTCTCGCCCTCGCGTGCGCGCGTCTCGCAACCTCTGAAGGCCGCCCACCGCGCCGCGCCGCACGGGACGGGCGCGGGTGCGCAGGCCGACGGTCCTGCCGCCATTGCCAGAATGAGGGAAGCAGTGGGACCTGGTGGGATAGAAGATGTAGAAGTATCCCAGGGCTCGGAGAACCTCGTTGAAACCCATCTTGGCCCTCCTCCTCCTCCTCGTCTTCCTTCCCCTCGGACGGCAATGCTGGGGAGGCGAGGAGCACTTTCGGTCCCAGCGCTTCCCTGCCCAGGAGCGTCCCAGGGGCAGGCCCTGTGCGGCTGCTCGCCGGGGACTTCTCCGGAGGCCGCCGCGACGTGAAGCACGACATCCTGGTCTATGTCGGCGACGAGGCCAAGGGCTGGGAAGGTTGTCCTGATGGTTGTCCCGTCGCCCCCGAACGTCGGGACAACCGTCAAAACACGTGGGTTCCTAACGCCCGTGAGCGCGAGACAATTGTGAAAACACATGGGCTTCTTTCGCCAGGAGGGGAGGCGGTTTTTGGGCTCCACGCTCTGGCGCTTCCAAAGCCAGCCGAAGTCAGGCTGGTCACAGGCTAGGTACTGCGAAGGGAGGAGCAGGCGGAGAGGGAGGGGGAGGAGGAGGGGGAGGGGGGGAGAGAAGGAGGTGCCGAGGTGTTAGGGGCGCTCTTGGGGCAGAGGGAGGGAGAAGAGGGGGAGGATGAATAATCCAGACTGCTCTACGTCGGCGACGAGGCCCCGTCCCTGGGGCGACGTCGCCGTAGTCGTCGCTGACGTCTTCGCGGACGTGGTGGCGTTGGTCATCGTCGATGTTGTCCCCGAATTCGGCGTTGGCGTCGTCGTTTTCGGCGGAGGAGGAAGAGGAGGAGAAGGAGGAGGGAGAAGAAAAGGGAGAAGATGAGGTGGAGGAGGAGGAGGAAGATTCCAGAGTAAGCCGAGCAAACACCACGGATGATGCAACAAACCCTCCCATTTCCGCGCCCATTACTCATACACGATCATGCTTACTTGTTGCCATTACGGCACGCGCCATGTGGAAAAATTAGGTGTCCCACGGGCCTGTAAGTTGGGAGTCGCAGTTTTTTGTTGCGCAAGCGCGTGTCAAATATCATGTTTCAAATTCGGTCGCAATGCCCCCAACGTCGCCCTCCCATGTGGCGCGCTCCAAGTAGGGCTTCGCCTGCGAGGGGTCAAAGGAGTTGGCATCTCTTCGTCGGCGGAAGGGTGGCGGAAAGTGTCAAAAGTACAACGAGGCTGTTTCCGCTGGCGGAAACCAGCGGACATAAATGGTGCCTTCCCAAGAGATGTCAGCGTTTTGGGGTGTCAGGCATCTGGAACCCGCAATGTACAATGTAGCTGGTAGAAACGGTCGGGAAAATGTGCGCCAAGCTTAGCGCGCGCCACTCTGATTTTAAGATTGACGCGGGGTATCCACGCGTCAGCCACATCGTCCAGTCCACAAGTTGCCCACTCGCGCGTGCGTCGCTTGCACGGCGAGTTTCTGCATTGCTCAACGGTTAACCAGCGTGGACCCCAACAGGCGTGTTGGTAGTAGTCAATGTTCTGCATGCTACGTGGTGCAACCTAGGTTGCGCAATCTGTATTGTGCATTATATGTAGTGCAGACTATGTGGTGCAAGTTCCTTTGACTCCGACGGACGTGACCACCTCCCATACCCGTGCAAAAGTCCGATTCGTCCACCCGCAACTTGGTTTGTAAAACGCATGCGGCGGCGATTGCGATAGCTGCTTGGCGCTGGCTGGTGCATCGCTGCGGCCGCGCTAGCGCGCGCAGGCTCGCGCGCAGAGCGGCCAGCTAGTCTGGCGCGACCCACGCAGCCGCGGTGGCGCTGACAGCTGGGAACTTCCCAGCGCGTCTCGTCGTAGGCCGCGCTGACGCGAAGCGCATCAGTGCGACTCGGTGGCCCGGGCGGGCGCGGTATCATGGCGACGTCGAAAACGGCAGACACGATGATGATAGTAGCGGTGGTGGTGGCGACGAGGGCAAGTACGACAGCAAGGGCAATGACAGCGCCGAAGCTGATCACGCCGATGGCGATGATTGTATCCTCGCGTCGGTGATCACAAGTTTTGGAAAACTTTCAAAACTTTCAGCACGCGCCCGTGGCCGACGTGCGCGAGTGGCCCGCATGGGGTTCTTTGGGAAGGATCGCGCACCCCCCCAGCACGCGCGCAAAGGCGTTCGAATGATTTCGACATGCGAGCGCGAGGGGCGCGTCGAATCGCATGTGATGACGTCGTTTCCAAAAACCGATGGTTCCCCATAGAATTCGCAAGAGCGGGAGCGCAAGTTGTTTTGATTACTCCTGTTGCGAATCCAGGTGTTTTTCCCAACCAACCTGTGTTGTTGGGTCCTCGTTTTGAAGAGACGGTCCCCGCGTTCCTCCTCCTCCTCCTCCTCCTCCTCCTCCTCCTCTCCTCTCCTCTCCTCTCCTCTCCTCTCCTCTCCTCTCCTCTCCTCTCCTCTCCTCTCCTCCTCCCCCTCCTCCATCCTCCTCCCTTGTCTCCCTCTTCCCTGCGTTTCACCCACCCAGTACAGCGTTTCGTAGCCGCACAGGGAGCTCCACCAAAGGCCCCAGTGCCACCGTCCTCATGCGCCCCCCCCCGCTCAGTACAGCGCTTCGTGGCCCCATAGGGAACTCCATCGAAGGCCCCAGTGCCACCGTCCACATGCGTCCCCCCCCACTCAGTACAGCGCTTCGTGGCCCCATAGGGAACTCCACCGAAGGGCCCAGTGCCACCGTCCACATGCGCCCCACCCCACTCAGTACAGCGCTTCGTGGCCCCATAGGGGGCTCCACCGAGGGCCCCAGTGCCACCGTCCACATGCGTCGCCCCACTCAGTACAGCGCTTCCCCATAGGACGCTCCACCGAAGGCCCCAGTGCCACCGTCCACATGCGCCCCCCCCCCCCCCCACTCAGTACAGCGCTTCGTGGCCCCATAGGGAGCTCCACCGAAGGCCCCAGTGCCACCGTCCTCATGCGCCCCCCCCACTCCGTACAACGCTTCGTGGCCCCATAGGGGGCTCCACCGAGGGCCCCAGTGCCACCGTCCACATGCTTCCCCCCCACTCAGTACAGCGCTTCGTGGCCCCATAGGTAGCTCCACCGAAGGCCCCAATGCCACCGTCCACACGCGTCCCCCCACTCAGTACAGCGCTTCGTGGCCCCATAGGGAGCTCCACCGAAGGCCCCAGTGCCACCGTCCACATGCGTCCCCCCCTCAGTACAGCGTTCGTGGCCCAGGGAGCTCCACCGAAGGCCCCAGTGCCACCGTCCACATGCGTCCCACCCACTCAGTACAGCGTTTCGTGGCCCCATAGGGAGCTCCACCGAAGGCCCCAGTGCCACCGTCCACATGCGTCCCCCTTACAGCGCTTCGTGGCCCCATAGGGAGCTCCACCGAAGGCCCCAGTGCCACCGTCCACATGCGTCCCCCCCAGTCAGCTCCACCGAGCGCCACCGTCCACATGCGTCCCCCCCAGTCAGTACAGCGCTTCGTGGCCCCATAGGGAGCTCCACCGAAGGCCCCAGTGCCACCGTCCATATGCGTCCCCCCCACTCAGCAGGTCACAATGCTACCGTCTACATGCGTCCCCCCACTCAGTACAGCGCTTCGTGGCCACATAGGGAGCTCCACCGGAGCCCCCAGTGGGACCGTCCGAGTGCGTCCTGAAACACCCAATGTGGCATTTTCACCCACCCATTTCAGCGTCTCGTGGCCCTAGAGGGAGCTCCACCGAAAGCCCCAGTGCCACCGTCCACATGCGTCCCGCACACCCAGTGTGGCATTTTCACACACTCAGTGCAGCGTTTCGTGGCCCCACAGGGAGCTCCACCGAAGGCCCCAGTGGGACCGTCCGCAAGCGTCCCGAAACACCCATTGTTGCATTTTCACACACCCAGTCCAGAATTTCGTGACCCCGTAGGGAACTCCACCGAAGGCCCCAGTGCCACCGTCCGCATGCGTCCCGAAAACCCAAGGTGGAATTTTTACTCACCCAATACAGCGTTTCGTGGCCCCTTAATGAGCTCCACCGAAGCCTCCAGTGGAACCGTCCGCGTGCGTCCCGGAAGTCCAATTTGGCATTTTCACCCACCCAGTACAGCGTTTCGTGGCCCCATAGGGAGTTACACCGAAGCCTCCAGTGGGACCGTCCGCATACGTCCCGGAAACCCAAGTTGGCATTTCCATTACCCAGTACAGCGCGTCGTGGCCCCATAGGGAGTTCCACCGAAGCCCCCAGTGGGACCGTCCGCATGCGTCCCGGAAGGCTTACTTGACACACCACTCACCCAGAACAGCGTTCCCCCCCACCCAGTGCAGCGCTTCGTGGCCCCATAGGGAGTTTCACCGAAGAAGATTTTCACAATTGCGGTACCCACAGCTGCATATGGTTGGGTCCTTCGCCAGGATAATTGTTTATATGTTTTCGGGACGCTTGATTTTTGAATCCGTACGGAACCTTAAGCAGGTTTTACGGGTGTCCGGATGCGCGCGCGACGACGTGCGCGTGTGCATTTCGACCGTTTTTGTGCCAGGGGTTCTTGAAAGCTGATGTTTTTGTTCATAAGCGAGTGTCCGTGCATATATTTTTTTCCAGTGGATGATGGGGGGTGATACCAGTTTGGCTGGGGTGGTATGAGCTCATTTTTAAGAAGGACGATGGGGCAGACTCGTGCGTAAATTGCAATACCGTGGGGGGGATTGATATGTCCAGGGGGGGAGGTAGGTAGATACCCCCGAAATTATGTTGTGCAGATAGCCTTGCCGAACTTGAAGTTGTCAGCTCCACTGCTCGCGCAATCGCCCCACCCACCCACCCGCAACTTGGTTTGCAAACCCATGCGGCGGCGATTGCGATGAGTGCTTGGCGTTGGCTGGTGCATCTCTGCGGCCGCGCTAACCCGCGCAGGCTCGCGCGCGAAGCGGCCAGCTAGTTTGGCGCGACCGACGCGGCCGCGGTGGCGTTGACCGCCGCACATCTCCCATCGGGCACTTCAGTGCGAGTCGGCGACTTGGGCGGGCGTGGTATCCTGGCAGCGTCGACGACGGTATACGCTATGATGATGGTAATGATGCTGGCGACGGTGATGACAACAATGACGGCAAAACCAGTGACGGCGCCAATGCTGATCACGCCGACGTCGATGACGGTGTCCTCGTTTCGGTGATGAAGGTTTTGGAGGAAGTTCGACATGCGCGCGCGGCCGACGCGCGAGAGTGGCCCGCACGGTATTATTTGACACGGGTCGTGCCCCCCCCAGGCGCGCGCGCAAAGGTGTTCGATTGATTTCGACATGCGGCGCGAGAGGCCCGTTTGGCCGAATTGAATGGAAATGCTGAAACCGGTGGTTCGTCGCAGGAGCTCGAGTCGTCGCCGTCGTCGTCCTCGTGCTCGTCGTCATCGTCGCTGGTTTTCGTTGTCGTCGCCGCCGTCGCTGTCGTCGTCCTCGTCGCCGCTCCCGGCCGCCGCCGGCGCCGGCCGGCCCAGACGGGGGAGAGGGGGTTCGAACCTTTCCCCCCTTGAGGGGACGGGGGGGGGGTTCGAATTTTTTTTGAATTATTGAATCCAGGGGGCGGGGGGGCTGGTTCGGCCCTCCCCATTTCAATCGCCCACAGAACGTGTTCTTTCTGAAATAGTGAACGGCAACAGAAACAAGAAAGCGGGAACGAAGACAGCAGGGACGACAAGGAACAGCTTTCGACCAGAAAACAACAAGCGCAAACAAACAAAAAATGTCCACAGCGGCGGGCCTGGAATCGGAAAAAAACGTATCCAAACACGCTAAACAACCGTCGCGGTGTTTTTGCGTTTTTTGCTTGTCTGTAGTTCCCTACTTAGGCTCTGCCTAGAAGGGTTCTTACTCGCTTGGCTTAAAGGGGCTGGGCAGTGCAAACCGCCCTGGGCGGTTCCCCCAGTCCCCTGGGAGCCAAGCAAGAAAGCAACAGCAAAGGTAAAAGCAAACGCGCGGTTCCCCCAGTTGCGCTCCCTGGGTGCCAAGCAAAAGCATTATCCCAGTGCGACCCTACCTAGGAGTTGGAACCCCTAGGAAAGCAGCATTAGTAGTAACAGTAACGCTAAACTAAAGCTAAGCTAAAGCTAAGCTAAAGCTAAGCCACAGCTAAGCTAAAGCTAAACTACAGCTAAGCTAAAGCTAAGCTAAATATGAACAACAGCTAAGCTAAAGCTAAGCTACAGCTAAGCTAAATATAAGCTAAAGCTGAGCTAAAGCTAAGCTAAAGCTAAGCTCCAGCTAAGCTCAAGCTAAGCTAAAGCTAAGCTAAAGCTAAGCGAAACGCTAAGCTAAAGCTAAGCTACAGCTAAGCTAAAGCTAAGCTAAAGCTAAAGCTAAAGCTAAAGCTCCCAGGGGACTGGGGGGAACCGCTCCCAGGGGACTGGGGGAACCGCCCGGGGCGTGTTGCACTGCCCGGCCCCTTTAAGCTAAGAGAGTACGAGCCCTTCTAGGCAGAGCCTAGGTAGGGAAAAAGCAAAAGCAAAAGCAAAGGCAAAAGTGAAGACAAAAGCGAAGGCAAAGCAAACTCATAGCATAGCATAGCATAGCATAGCATAGCATAGCATAGCATAGCGCAGCATAGCATAGCGCAGCATAGCATAGCATAGCGCAGCACAGCATCCAGCACAGCACAGCATAGCGCAGCACTACCTAGGTAGGGTCGCACTGGCATTTTTTCTATACACGCGGTAGGAAGAAATCGTAAAAGACGTTTTTGTTCCTACTTGCCAAGACGGAGAGGACCCTAATAAATAATAGCATGCGCTGGACCATGCGGTCAGCAGGCGAGCAGCTATGTACGTACAGCCGCTTGCTGGCTGGAATGCTGCTTATACGGAGGGAGGAGGAGGAGGAGGAGGAGGAGGAGGAGGAGGAGGAGGAGGAGGAGGAGGAGGCGGAGGGGGTGGAAGGAGGAAGAGGAGGACGACGACGCGCGAGGCCACTGGCCGTCTGGACATGCTGCTCGCCCGGCTGCTCGACGGGGACCCCACCGGCCGAGCCAGGGTCTTCGTGAGGTTGGCGAAAAGCTGGGCTAGGCGCCTCCATTTCTCCCACGAGCAGGAAGGAATAATCAGCAATGATGAAGGAGGAGGAGGAGGAGGAGGAGGAGGAGGAGGAGGAGGAGAAATACGAAGAGCAACACATCGAGGAGGAGGAGGAGGATGAGGAGGAGGAGGAGGAGGAGGAGAAAGAGGAGGACGACTCTTGGGACGACTCTTGGGGTGGGGGGGGGCACGCGTCGTGCCCCCCACCCGACCTCGGGCGCTCCAGCCGCCCGAGCGCGGCGCGCGGCCGCGGCCGTCGCCCGACGGCCGCCCCGCGCCCGCGCGCGGCCGCTGCAGGGTTTCAGGCCCGCGCGACGGCGGCCGTCAGCGCCGCCCTCTCGCCCGCGGCTCGGCTGTCTGCGCCGAGCGGGCGAGGCGCAGCCGACTTCCCGCAAGAGGAGGCGGATCGACGGCGCCGAGCCTCCTTGCCCGTCTCGCTCGGGCTGCTGCCGCCTCGGGAGCCGCGATGATGAGCCCGATCACTGCGGGCCCGCTCTGGCGTGCCTCCCGCAGCCCCTCCTCGTTCGTGGGCGGCATCCCCTGTGGCTTCTCGCGGCTGGTGCCTCTTGCCAGGCTCTCCATGCTCGCGCGCCACTCTGCTCGCGTGACGGTGCGAGCCTGCTTGGCTGGCTGCCCGTCGGTCGCCCTGCTGGTCCTCTTGGCCGCCCTGGGGCCATCCTGCTGGTCGTCTTTCGCGGCTGCAGCTGCGCTTGCCTCTGCTGCACGGTGGGCAGCGGCGAGGGCAGTCTGCCCCAGCTGCGTCCCTGCTCCGCCAGCTCCTCGGTGCGCTTGGTCGCCCTGGCACCTTCCCTGGCCACGGTCGACCCCTGCACGGCCTCCTCTGGGCTGCGCGGGTACCCAGCCGCCTCCTCTTGGCTGGTTACCCCCCTCGGCGAACCTGGCAGTTTCTTCGCTGCAGGTCTGGAGCGTGGCGGCTCTCGCTCTAGAGGTACCGCTGCAACCTGTCCTGCGCCGCGCGCTGGGGCCGTCCTCGTGCCTGTTGCGCCAGCCCTGGTCACCTCTGCTGGCGGTGGGGTTTGGGACGCGGGGAGTGGCCGTCCTCTCCCTCCCACGCCTGACCGCCGTGGGGATCGTTCACGCATGTCCCCCTCGCGACTGTCCAACCCGTGGCCTTCCGACCGCAGAGGGAATGTGCCTCGCCCGAAATTCCTCGCAGGGTTGGAGGCAGTCCGTGGCGTGGGCGGTGACGGCATGCCAGGCCGGTTTTCGTCATCAGAGTACGGGCCAACTTACAGCCGCGGAAGGTCCAGCTCGGCCGCTCGACGGCGTGCCACACGGAGCAGAACAGCAGCAGGGTCATCAGGCGGTTCTCCCCGGCCGTCAACGGCAGGCTGGCGAACTGCGGCCAAGGCCTCTGTTCCCAGGGTGGTGGCCGCATTTGCCGCTGCGGCAACCCGCCCGTCGGCGGCACCACGAGGGGGGCCGAGGTGGAGAGGGGCATCGGCCACCCGCCCGTCGGCTGCCCTCGATCCAGCTCTGGGCTTACGGCGCGAAGGCTCTGGCCTCGCCGCCGCTGCCGCGCAGTTCCAGCGCTGGGGGGACGGCTTCCGCTCCCAACCGCTGTGGTGTGGAGGTTGCGGCTGCGTAGCATCGACCCCTCCGTCGGCTTGCCACTCTTCGCGTTCCTGTGCCATAGCGCTGCTCCAGGCGTGGGGCCTGCGTGGGGCTGGGCCGCCCCTGTTGCGGCGGCGGCGCCTGCCAGCCCCACTGCAAGCGCCAGGGCTGTGCCTGGTGAGTCTGCTGCGCTGACGCTGCCGTCGTCTTGCTGGGTCGGAGCTGCCCCACCTTCACTTCCGCGTTGGCCTACATGTTCAGCCGCGTCCTCAGAGTCGGGTGCCAGCCGTCGACGTCCCGCGCTGCTGGAGTCGAATGACCAGGCATTGCCAGTCGGGGCCTCGTCAGATGAGGTGGTGCCGTCTTGCGGCGGGTGAGGTCCACCGCCCGCGGTAGTGCCCCCTCCGTGGTCTGGCTCCTCTGCGGGGCTGGGTGGGTCAGCAGGCTCGGTACTTTCATCGACTCCAGCGGCTGGTGCCTCTGGCTCGTTCAGGTTGTAGCTGCTGGAGTTGTTGGGGATAGCAGGAGTCCTAGCCGTCGGGGACAGGCTCTGCTGGGTAATTTTCGTCCCGATGGTTGCCTCTTTGCGGCCCCTCGTCGTCGCCCCCAGGCCAAGGCGGGCCCCTGGGCGCCCTCCGTGCGGTTAACCTGCATCGGGCCGCCGTCGTCGACTGCCGGCTGCTGGCCAGAGCCGCTGGATTGCTTTGGCTCGTTCCTCCTTGGGGACCTCGAGCGTGGAGGGGCTCCGCGGCTTGGGAAGGCGGTGCACGGCCGCGGCTCTGGCTGCGGTTGCGGGGCGACCTCGACATAGATGTTGCCCAGGAATTGCGCCGCCTTGCTCTCGAGCCGTTGGAGCTCAGCCAGGTACTTCCCGTAGTAGGGGCCCAAGCTCTGTAGAGTCTTCCAGTTGTGCAACCTGCCCTCTACTGATTGTCCAGCTCCTGCTTGGCCGAGAGGACCTCTCCGATGGCCTCGTCCAGCTTCGCGATGAGCTCCTTGCGGGTCTGCTCGTTGCGCGTGAGCTGCCCTGCCTCCTTCTCTGAGTATTGCTTGGCCTGGCGCCAGCGCAGGGCCGCGGCCTCCAGGCGCACCCCGAGCTTGGGCTCGGGCGGCGGTGGCTCTGGCGGCGCAGGCGTGAGCACGGGGAGCTTGGCCAGCTGGGCGGCTGCCTCCGCCGTGGCCCCGTCCCCAGCCTTGGCGGCTGCGATGACTGCCTGCAGGGCTTGCAGGTTGGCTTGGTCGAGGCCGAGCTTCTCGAGTGCCTGCTTGGCGAGCTCATCCTGCTTGCTGTTTGCGGCTGCCGTCTCTGGCCACTTGTAGCCGTACTTGTGGCAACCTTCCCAGCCAGGCGCCCCCGCGCGCTTGGCCCACACCCAATTTTCCCCACGCGGGCAGTTGGGGCACACGAGGTACTCCCAACGTCTACGCTGGCTGGCAGATCGGGGCCTGCTGTTGCCGCGCTGGCCTCCCCCGCCTCCGCCTTGTTGCCGCCACGGCCACTGGGCTGCACCTCCGCCTTGGCCTCGACCTTGACCACCGCGGCCTCCTCGCGCCATGGTCCAGCGAGGCCACGGGAGTGCACCGCGCCGATCTCCGTCGTCTTGCGATGCTTCCGCAGCCGCCTCCTCAGGCGGCCCCCCTCAAGCACGGGGCGTGGTCACGAGCAGCGCCGCTGCCCGACCCACGCCAGTACGTGATCGCAGGCCGGCCCGCCCGAGCGCCCCAGCGCTCGCTGCAAGCCGAAATTGCTTGAGAGGAGAAAGAGGAGAAAGAGGAGGAGGAGGAGGAGGAGCAGGAGGAGGAGGAGGAGGAGGAGGAGGAGGGAGTGGAGGAGGCAGTTTTCGGGTGAACGTTTTGTGTAAGGATTTCTGTGGTTATGTGTGTTTCTGCAGCTTATACCCTGAGCAGCGGATGCTGTAAGGGCTGTCGTGTCTTTTGACCGGCGATCCTAGATTCTAGAATGCGAAAGGCTGCCACGTGCCGTGCCGTACCCGCATGCTGTGCCGCTCTTAGGTTTTCAGAATGCAGCAGAGTTGCCCCCGCTTGCCCTCCGCGTTGTGCCTAGGTTCCCAGAACAGCGAATGCTGTATGCGGGCCAGTCTCCTGGGGGAAGGCGATTCAGAGTTCTAGAATGCAAAAAAGTTGCCGCGTACGGTGCTGTTCCTGCGTGAGGCCAGGTGCGCGCCGTCTCCTATGCTGACGGCGCTTGCGAATGCTATCGAGCAGTTCGGGTGGCACAGTGCGGAGGAGGGGGAGGTTGCTTCTGCTCTTGCTGCTGGAACTCAGGTGGCGCTGGGAGAGTTGTTCGAATGTGACGGGCGTCGGGTCCAGCGGTCGAGCCCGTATTTCTTCTGCCCACGGGGTGGCGCCCGATCAGCCGTAGGGTCAGCGAAGCTCGATTCTTTGGCCCACGAGTGCCCGGCCGAGCCGCCGAGCGCTGCTAGGCGCAGGGCTCGCGACCGGTCGACCGACGGCCGCAACCAAGCAATTTGTTGCTTAATTTGTCAGGTTTTTAATGTTGCTTGCGCTCAGCGCGCAACATACACTGCACATGATAAGTGCGCTTACCAGGTTTACCTCAACGCATGTTTCTCCTCTGCTGTAGGCGTGCTCATGATTCGTAATTTTCTCGTTCTCGTCTGCGTCCTGCGTCGTGCTTCTCCTCCCTTTTGTCTTCCCGTGTCGGAAGCTGGGGAGCATACGCGGCCACCAGCCCTGACCAGGCGCATCCTGGGCTCTGGACAGTTGTATACCAGACCCCTCTGGCCCGCGCGCGCCTGTAGGGGCTGCGCACGCCAGGCGAGGGCCCGGGGTGGGCCTGGCCAAGGCTGGTGGTTGTGTAAAGTTTCCGCGCGCGCGTTCCCGCACGCTCGCGCGCGGAGGGAGAGAAGAAGGAAGGAGGAGGAGGAGGAGGAGGAGGAGGAGGAGGAGGAGGATCGCGGGAAGAAGAGTGGAAAAGGAAGAGGGGGAGTAATAGGAAGAGGATGGGGAGGGGAAGGATATGAAGAGCAGGAGGAGAGGCACGAGGAGGAGAACGGGGAGGAGAATCATCGTCGTTGTCGTCCTTGGGTTTGCTCTGGTCCTCCTCCTCCTCCTCCTGCGGCGGCCTTGCCCATGGGAGAACTCCAAGGTCGGGGAACTTGTCCAGGATTGCCAAAAAGAGCCTGCCGTATGTGGTCCGAGAGGTTGCGCGTCGGGCCGTGGAGGCGGAGTCGATCCGGCGGGCCGCGGGCCGAGAGCTGCTGACGTGGAGGGCCTGTGGGGCCGATGATGGGTGACGGGGGTGGCAGCGGGCAAGAGGCCCTGCCGAGGCATCCTCGGCTACGAGGGCGGGAGTCCCTGGGCCCCCTGGCGATGGAGCAGTCCGAGGAGGCACTTGCTGCTCCCAGCTTTGCCGTGTCCAGCGGAGAGTTGTC